CGAGGGTTTTCCGGGTTCTCCGGTTTTCCTCCCTCCGCAAAACGACGTTTTGGTGGCTGACTACTTTGGTAAATAATAAACAGAAAATTGAAAATTCAAACTTTTTTAACTTTAAATTTAATGTTGATTTAAAAAATGCAAAGAAAAATGGGGTGTCCCGGGATTGTTTTTGAGATAATAGTATGCATAAAATATTTACTCAATTCTGATTGGCTGACAGCAGTGCAGTTAAAATGAAATACCAGTGAAAACATCTGTTTTACCAGTGAAAAACTCTGTAATGCCAGTGCAGATTACAAATTTTCAGGATTCTGATTGGCTAAAAAAACAATTGAAATTGAGTTAGCCAATCAGATTATAGCAGTTGCCATAGCAACAGAACAGCCATTCTTCTCTGGAAGTTCTCAGAAAATTCAAGATGGCACGTTTTCATCTTAAAAATGGATTTAAAATGCTACAAAACTGATGATTTATGTAAGTTTTGCAGAATTTCTTCGCAATATGCTTACTTGTTTTTTCAAAAAATGATTTGTAAACATGTTTTAACTTTTTAAAGATCAAAAGTAAGCTTTGTTATTCCCATTCTCTCATGGCATAATTTTTTTGTAAAAAAAATATATTGATAATGATGACAGAATGTGATTGAAACATTGAAATCTATCTGCGTTAGTCTTTCTGATTAATTTAATAACAAAAGTCAATCTTATGAATAAAATATTGTTTTGTAAACTGATTTTTGACAAAAATAATCACAAAACAAATGAGTTCTTTGCTTCGTGCCTTTTTCCAACACTTCTTTTTGCTTTCTAATTTGGTTGAAAATTTTTCATGTATACTAAATAGATAGTAATATAGTTTCTCGTTCAATTTGGAAATAATTTGATTTAAGAAGCAAAATAAATAATTTGCTACGCTTAATCCAGGGTTTGCTCTTTGCCATTCAAAACGTTATATGATCTCCTTTAATTTTCCTTAAAAAAATGGAGATTCATTAAAAAATATCAATAAATTATAAAATTATAAGATGTAAAGCAATCATGAGAGAGGTCTTGAGCAAATATTAGCCTGTATTTACCTTTTAAANACACATTCCAGGGTTTGTTTGCCGCTCGAAGCGTTATGATCTCCTTTAAATGTTTCTTCAAAAAAATGGTGATTCATTAAAAAATATCGATAAATTATAAAATTATAAGATGTAAAGCAATCATGAGAGAGGTCTTGAGCAAATATTAGCCTGTATTTACCTTTTAAAAGCTATCAAAACTACGAACAATCAATATGGGTGCTCATCAAGAAAATGGTGGAAAACAGTGGATAAGATTACAGGGAGAATATCTAAGGAGGCACGTTTGTCTAGTATCTTTAATTTGAATGAAATTAACAAATATTTTCAACACATCAACACTGAAYGTGACTATGAACCGCCCTCTATATCAAGACTATTGGTGATAATACTAATATTCCTACTATTGATGAACTCGCTACTCTAAAATTCCTATCAAGTGTAAAGAAAACAGCAGCTGGACCTGAGGGAATTAGACATTGGTTATGGAAGGATTTTGCTCTTGAGCTTGCTCCTGCAATAACCTACCTGTCCAACCTGTCTATCAAGTCTCAAGCTGTCCCACTTCAATGAAAATCTGCAAACATAACACTCATCCCTAAAGAATCTCCTATCTCTAAAATGGAACAATTTTAAAAGACCTATTTCAGTCACAGAACCAAGTACATGTATAATGATTGTGCTTCTAGAGATGTATTCCATTAAGAACTGGGCCACCGATAACAAGATGTCTATAAACTTATCCTAAAACTAAAGAGCTAGTGGTTTAGGGTAGATCAGATGCAGCTATTCCACTTCCTCTAAAAATCTACAAAAAAACTACAAAGCTTTCGCTGTTGTATCACAGCGTGGGACGATCACAAAAGAGCTAGGCTCCAAAATAGGTGAAAGCCCAAAGATCAAATTAGAATTTAGAAGTTGATTTTTAAGGACGGAGGAAATTAACCAGAGAACCTGGAGAAAAGCCCTCAAAGCACAGGAGAGAACCAACAAACAACTCTACTCACATACTACACCGAACCTGGCAGAACTCAAACTCGGGTCGCATTGGTGAGAGGCGGAGCAATTAGCAGCGCACGCCACCGGTGCATCCCTATACTATACACCTCCTCTACTGGGTATTAAACAGGTGAAACTACAGGTGTATTTTCAATCGCAGTCCAAATAACTGGGACTCTCAATTTAACAATATTATTATATTAAGTAAAGCAGGGATAAAGGGTGTATATATTAACAATCTGCAAAAGGTATGGATAATAGTCAGGAGAATCCTCATTATCTTTTTAATTCCCTCATAATGTCACTTTTTAAATATGCTCTTCCTGTATGGGGGTGTCCAAGTCACTCAAAATATTTAGTTAATATTGACAAATTACAAGAGGGCTGTTAAATTTGGTTACAGTATCTTAAATATGTAACACCAATTAATGAGATCATAGCAAGTTTAGATAGTGTAATATGGAATAATATTATTAACAATCTGGGGCATCCTCTTGCACATGACTACTTCCACCTAAAAGAACTAGAATTTTACGGTCAAGAAGCCACAATTATATATTACCTAAGGAAACTGAGCGTTTCAAAAACACATTTTTAAATAGATGTCTTTTTTTATTAAATTATATTTCTCAATTTATACTTATATATTGACATTATTCATATATACAATACTTATATATTATTAATTGATGTACATAAGCATAATATAATTCTTTTAATATATTAATTTGTAATTAGGAGCRTTTGTTTCTTAAAGAATAAAGAGCTATTATTATTATTATCATTATACAACAACCTAATTATGTATGCCAAAATCCGGAAAGGAACTGGAATTCCAGATTGAGTTATTTGATGACTTTGATAAGTATGGCATAAACGCTCTGCTACAAACTGCTTTCAACACTGTTGTTCAAAATTTTACTTCTCCTTTTGATTCTTAGAGACTCTGATACTARTAAATTGTCCCTGCCGCAAACCATTTTTATTTCATAAATTATTTCATCAAAAACATCAATAAATCACTTGACCCTAAAAGCGTAAATGTCCTACATTACTACTCTACATAGATGCGCAACCTTTCCAGCAATCACATCACATATTGATGTCATGAAGTTATCAGTACCTTTGGAAGTGATCAACCAACTAAATACTCCATGCATGTTGAAATCAGGTTCTCCACTCCCCCCTTCCTGATATCTCTTTCTGACTTCATTGTTTTTGGTCTTTCTTTGATTAACAATGATTGTCGCAAGACCAAAATGGGGCTTATTCACCTATTGGGCACTCGTAGTCCCAACGGGATTAATGAACGCTTTGCTTTCAACTAACCCTTTCTTTTGTCTTTTGATTGTTTGTTTTTGTTTCCTTGCCTACCTTGTTCCTATTGGTTTCTTTTGTCTTATTCTATCATATAAACATTCCTTTCTACCACCTCTTTCTCTTTTACTCCGACAAAGGACTAGCGTCCGAAATGTCAGTAAGTTTTTTCATCTTTTCACGGTGTATAATTTACCTTTTTATCATTACCCTTCCAGATATCCCAGTGTACCCTGCTCATGGGGTCTAGTTTAACTCGTTTTCAAGTCTGTCTTATGGTGTCGATCTGTCTTTAAAAAGATCCGAAATCTCCACAATTTGGATTTTAATGAAAGACATCCAAAGGTAAATTTCACTAAACTTGATATTCAATTGGATTGTCTGTAGCTATCTTTTACTTTTCAAGGAAAATTAACCAGGAATTCAAAGTGTAAAAATGTCGGCCATGGAAAACTTTGTCGAGGAATATTTCATGGTGGTGGGCGGTGTACATGTGACAAAATTCCTAAGTGGGATAGTATGAAACGATGTAGTGCAATTCAATTTGATTTTTTCACTTAATGGTTTTTATTTTGGGGGACATTACAATTAAAAATAATGTAAGCTTTTTTCCCGATTATATTTTCACATTACAGTTCTATCTAATTTGAGCTCACTGTGTCCATGGCATTGTGAGCTCCACTTTTAGGCAGTGCCTAAATTTATATACTAGTTAGTAGTGGACTCTAAACCCATAGTTTTCTTTTGTTTTTTTATCAACTGGTACTTACTAAATAGTCATACCTATTTCTTTCACAGCTTATCATATCTACTCAACAGTAGACTCAATACACAGTTTGTAAATGTTATTAAAATATTAAAGATCTTTGTGCCCGTCATAAAGCTTACATTCTCTTATCGGAGAAAAACATGGGATTTGAACAATAATTTTGGTACTTAAGGATAGACGGCCTTCATCACAGCAACACACGTTGTAAGACCAATAACATTATAAGCATAACATCAGGAATAAATATATGTTGAAACCATATTTGATTTTGTAAATTTGAGACTGTTGGATAATACTCTATTTCATCAGCTACCCATGATCAGAGAACAATATTGCTTCATCATCGTATACAATAAATAACACATCTTCCAACAGCACGTTATCGCAAAAATAACTACTATTAATATTTGGTCATTAGAGCGACAATTTCAATAAGAATTTTGGAAATGCATATTTACAATTGTCTTTGTTAGTACAGTGTATGTTGTAATCTTTTTTATCAGTATTTTTAACACAAATTTGGCTTTGCTTTTTCTTCCATGAGGGAGACAGGGCTGCTCTACCTAGCTACTACAGCTGTATAGGACCAGCATTTTCCTGGGGGAAAGGAGGGGGGTACGGTCAATCAAATAATATTTCATTAAGGGAAATTGTACTTAATTCATGATTGGATGAACAATTCTCAACTTTTTCGTGCAAGATTGTAGCCTCATTTGATGCTACCCCTCATAAAGGTAGAAATGGCAATAACTTTTTATCTTAGGTACTGTGCATATAGGGGAGGCCTGCAACCTACAGTAGACAACCTTTTCTCATTGATTCTACTACTGTACCTAGTCCTTTGTTTCTTACCTCTTTACCCTTTGTTTCGCCATTCTCAAACCATTCAACTGTAACACTCTTGGTTTCTATGTTCACCCCACTAACCAATGCAGAGTGTACGCGACCTACAAAATTTGAAAATCATTAATCATGTAACTAGTTGAAAATAGACATGGAATAGACATACTAAATTCATGCAAGTACTCCCATCTTGTTCATATTTTATTCTTAGACTGTGGAAGGTAATCATGACCAAGAAAATTAAACACCTGAACGAAAATTATTAATAGTTGTTAATGTGCCTATCAACCCTACAGGATCTCTCCCTGTGATTTCAAATCCCTTATCTAATAATTAAAATAAGAATATGGCCTTACTTTTCTTTTATATATCTTTTCATTGCCAAGCGAGATATTCAAAATAGAAATCACGAAATGATGACATAGACCCACAGAATATTTGTGAGAATGACCTTTGCTTTTCTTTCATTTTATCTTTTCATTGCCGAGACATTCAACATAGAAATCACGAAATGATGACATCGACCCACAGAATATTTGTGAGAATGACCTTTGCTTTTCTTTCATATATCTTTTCATTGCCCAGATATTCAACATAGAAATCACGAAAAGATGACATCGACCCACAAAATATTTGTGAGAATGACCAGTTTTGAAATACTTTTCATCAATTAATGATACTGTTTTTTTGGTATTTAAATTCTCTGCTGACTTTTTCGGCAAACAAATAATCGTTTTCTTGTCTTCTTAAAAAATTTAATATTCAAGTGTGAGAAACACGACGATTTACAATTTTTGTAAGGTCAAATAAATACTAAGGTTACAAGCCTGTGCATTAAACGAGTACTTGTTTCAAATCAATTGTTCTTCCTCTCCCCGATGTAAATGTGGAATTGAAAAAGAATCAATTATGCATTTTTTCTTTAAATGTCCCTTATATGCTGCTCAGAGAAATTCTCTTTTTACCTCAGCTGCATTGATTTGTGGTAGTTTGTGGCAAAATGTTTCTTCAAAAATGCAAAAACTTAGTTGGTTTTTATATGGCTGTAGAGACTTAGACTTTAAAAAAAACCTTAACTTTTCACTGAAGTACAAAAGTATATATTAGCTACAAACTGTTTTTTGTTCACCAAAGATTAATTATTTTTTCATTTTATTTTACTGTTTTCATTTCTTTCTTTGTACTGTAAATATTATGGATATGAGCCCCCTGTTAAGCTTTACAGCTTTTGGGGCAAATGTTTAGTCAAATATGTTTAAATAAAAAAATAAATAAAAAATAAATAAATACTTTGTTTTTTCTCAAAATTGGCCTCARAGAATTTTTTCAAAGTCTCGTATATTATGCCCACATATTTATGTAGGTAACGTCCAGATTTTGAGATATTATCCGATCTTGATAAAACTTATATCAAAATAAATTTTCATTTATTAACTATATCTCTGGAAAAAATAATAATTGCAGTCCTTCTACAACGTGAGATACAGTGGATTTTGTTCAGGTGGTCGGGAGTTTTGGAAGCTGGAATGAGCATCCTTAAGAAACTATTAACATTCCAAACAACTGACTCATGATCATAATTGGTATCCGGTCTTTTTGTTACCTTGCACTTTCGCTTCTTACCTAAAAGGTCGATTCGCTACTTAATAGAAGTCGATTCGCTACCTTATCTCAAAATGTTAAATATCACAATATCAGGAATATATATTACTTAATATATATTAATTTTGAGTCTATATCAATAAATTTAAACTGTGTTTTATGCCATCGAAACTTATAAATTTTCTGCTCATGCAGATGTCGATCAAGAAATCTAAACCTAGCGAAGAGAGGATATTTACATCTCATTTACGTGCGAGTTAACGATGACTAATAGAATTTTGCGTTCAATGAAGAACTTTTCTGACAAATAAAAAGATTTAGTTACAAAGAAGAAATCTAGTCGAATTTTTCAGAGTTAATTCCCGGCCCGGGAGTTATTTCGTAGCAAAGTAGCGATTGGATTCTCGGCGTTGTGTGACAACAAACTATTCCAAAGCTATGAGAAACGAGAAAGGAAGGCTTGTTTTTATCCCTGCTTTTGCTCGATGACTAAAAGTATGACTTTAAGATAAAAGGGTTTATGTCAAGGAAGAGTTTTCTAGTGGAGCTTTTTAAAGTTTTTTAGCTTCGTAGTAAAGTAGYGAATGGACTCCCGGCGTGAGGCGCTGTTACAACAAAAAGTGACGTGCATGGGGGAAAAATCTTAAAACGGGCTAAATTCAAAAGATAACCATGCAGAGCGAAAGAAGTGCTATTTCTCAATGATCGGGTAAAATTTCGAGGCTTTATTTCACGATTCAATGATTTTATTGAAAGTTTTGATGAATCCCCATACATTTCCTTATAACAGGACACCACAGAAACCAAGCTTGGGCTACCTGTGGATAGGATAGCTTTGTAAGCAACAAAATCAAGGCAATTACAAATTCTGGGATGCATAACATGACAATCAGTTCGCCAATAATAGCAAATCTTCAACTAAATGAAGAGGCAAAGAAAGCAGAAAAATATAGTAAATAACCAGAAACATCATAGCTCTTCTCCTTTTTTCACATTCTAAGAAAGCAAATAAAAACGCTCCTAAGCCTTGTTGTACGTCCAGACAACACGGAATTGTTATTCTCGATTATTGAGTTATAAGTTGCTACTAATGTGGTGAGTCTATTTGTTTCTCACTGTCAACTCCTAGTTTGTGTCAAGCTATGGTTATATACAAAAGAGTAATTTCCAGTGTTGTGAATCTGTAGCCACACGACCCTCGTACGATCATTGATAGAAATTGTTCAAGGACATAAATCGAAAAAAATCGATATGTATATAATCAATCAATCAATAAAAATCTATACAAAAATTTAGTGTGAGTTCGATTTTTAACGGTTGATAGATACAATCGATATCAATCAAATCAACGGTATCAATTGTTATCAATTTATTGATTGGCAAAATGGATATAGATTTTTATCGATTGACTACTCCGGGCAAATACGCTTTGAAATTTCTTTCTTTAAAAAAACATTCAAATAATAACAAATTACTTAAAATTACTGATAAAATACRATCCAAAATGTCATAGAGGAGGTTTACAGGCATCTTGAGATAAAGTAGCGATTGTGCTTCTTYGAGGTAGCGAATCGACTTCTATTAAGTAGCGAATCGACTTCTATTAGTAGGGAATGTGCAGTAGCAAAAGTGCAAGGTAGCGAAAAGATCGTAATTCTCATAATTTATATTATTGCTCCCCTAGATGCAAGGGGTAGTCCTTTTGAGGGTACTGTAACGAAAACCGACTTTGTAACATTGGGTTAGTGATCTTTTGTATTTGCCAAATAAAATCTGAAACTTTAGCAACATGAATTTGAACCTCTTCCAAAAATTGTGGATCAGTGAACCCTGCTTTGCTCTATTGTTTTCCCAAATAAAATGCAACTGAACAATAGGCATATCAGTGATACGTATATGTACCTCATTTAATAAATTATTATTAATGTATTGGGAAAATAAATAACAGAAAATATCCATACCCCTACCTTAGGCGGCATTTTTGGAATTTGAAGGAATGGGAGGGTTTTTAGATCAAGAATTTTGAAGGAGAGTAGAAGTATGTTGGTCTGGAATGTCAAAAATGTTTCAAAATTGTTTTTGAAACATTAAAATATGTGAAAAGGGTGGATCAGGAACAGCTGATCTTAGTAGTTTTGATCTCATCATAGTCTTTCCATCGCATCATACGCTGTACTGTTTTTTTTTTGTTCGCATGATCATAGTGTCTAAGTTTGATCACATTGTACGCCTGTGGTCAGGTATATGGATATTTTCTGGAACTATTCATTATTATACAAGAAGCCCAAAATAAAAATATTAGAAAACAGAAAGAAAAAAAAAGTAAATTATAACTGTCTATCTCGCAAAACACAATTAATGTTATATTTTTTGAAATGATTCACATATTCAATATTTATTTTTATCTGGCATGGTTTTTAACATCGTGCAAGCTACTGATCAATAATTTTGTCTGCAATTCACACAACTCATTTGTCATGTCTATTTACAGACCACAAACCCAAATAAAAATACCATCGAGGACTAGTCACACCTTACCCCCCCCCCCCCTCTTTCCACCTCCCTGGATCAAACCCTGAGTGATCTACCAGTGAAGTCAATTATTCTTTTTTTCTGAGGTTACAAACAAAGGTTACATTACAAAGTACCAGATTGTGTGTGCTGTGGCATGGTTATTACCACAACACCACACACAAACACCTTGCAATATAGGTGGGTGTAGGATGATTAAATTTTTTTCAAATCATTGGCACATCAATATCTCAATGGCAATGTTTACAAACATTATGTCCACCTATTGGAATCAAAACTGATACTGAATATGTAGAATGATATGGAGTTTGAATCAAAGCCAACTGTGCTTTTACAAAGTGTGAAAAATATTTCAAAGCTTCTATACCTTATATATATCTTAGAATGAGTAATTAGTAAAACAAGATTATCATCTTCATATGAAGCTAATATAACCTGCGTCTTGTTTGATAAATGAAAAAAATAATTTGTTGTAATCTTTTACACTTCATTTTCCAGGAATTTATAACAAAATAACAAGGCGACAGTGAAAAAACTAAGAAGGATTGGCTAAACACAAAGTTCAGTGTGTCAAAAGTTCTTAGTGTGATATACATTAAATCAAGTTTGCATATACTGTAGTTTATATACATATTTCATTCTCACATATATCACATTTATGTTGGCCAGTCCGATTTCTGCCTATATGGATCCAGACCAAATCCACGGAAATATCAAATTCAAGAATATGAATTTTCCTAATATTTACAAGTGAATATGAATAGCCTAATTTACTAGAATACTAACACACACCTAGTGATCTTTAGAGAAAATAAATTAATCATATAAAATCTAGCTAAATAGCGAGGTTCAAATGACAGACAAACTTCATTTCATGTACGTTTACATGTAAAAGTGATAGAGTTTTTAGAGTACATTTGTAGTTTTCGTTGATGATCCCCTTATGTTCCAGTAATATTGCCTTTGATATGTGTTTATGTGTGTAACCAAGACGCAGTGCGATTAAAAACATTAGAAACGAAGATTCTCTCCAGCAGATAAATAAATATTACCTTTATTCATATTTACTATATGACCTGTCCTCGTATGAGTTGAACATGAGAAGAATTAATATTGCATATGATTAAACAACTAATAAAAGGGGCTCATATATGTGAAAGATTAAGAGAGCTACAGTAACTGTATAACCGTGAGAAAGCAAAAACGGTCTCAAAACAAAACTACTCAAATTTGGTTTGAAGGCACTCACCATCAGTCCTTTGAATATCGACCTTCGTGCCAACCACCACTTTGCTGTATTTCTCCATTCTAGCTACGAAGCGAGAGTGAAATTCATAAATCTAGCTTCGGTCAGCTTTTTGGTAAAAAAGAAATGGATTCACATCAAGTATTTCAATAAGTTTGAAATTTTGCTTGAACCAAACGGCAATGGCGATAAATCTGAGCCCCTTGACGTCTGTCGACTTACACAGCGGATTCTAGCAACACCACCAAAGCATTATGGGAGAAATTTAGGAGAATCARACAAAAACTAAATTTGCCGGCAACAGCCAAAAATCGATTTCGATCATATACGATTATAGAGAAAGCTCTTTCTCCCGTCCTGATTCTAGTATTCGGATCAGGAAGCCAAAACAAATTTTGGTAATACCATACTTTGTTGTTTTTTTAGTATCCCTTTATTACTGAGGTGGGTATCCTTTGGTACATGACCACATGACCGAGAATCTCAAGTCAGCTGAAAAAATATTTTTCTATTTTATTTTGCCAAATCAACCTATTTAGTGGACTAATTTCGGGGAATTTTTTCAAAACATTTCCAAGCAATTCCGGTAAACAAGCCATTTTTCACGCGGCGAAATGGCAAAATAAAAAAAGATTATAGCGGTAACTCAACCGCTCAAGTGCTGAAGGCTTTTTATTTTATACATACTGAGATTTTCTTATCAAATTTCCCTGTGTTAAAACTCATCGTAGTGATATTATAAGTTTGGCATGAGTGCCAGGTACGAGGAAGGAGTGGTCGCGCCGGCTAATCAGCCCCTTCGCAGAGATAACCATGGCAACCGGGCCACAGTCCACCGCCCACCTTGCACCCGTCACACCTTAAGAGGTGGAGATACTTGCCATCACACCCTAGTCCTCTGAAATGAGAGGTGGGGAGGGGGGGGGGAGAAATATTATTTGCCGCTTGCTTAAACAACAACACAATGACAAAAATGCCACACTGCAAACCCTGCCAATACCCCTGAACCACCAGGGGGTCCCCCCGCTGTTTGTTGAAAAAAAAGTTCGCGACTTTTTTTAGCCAATCAGAGAAGTGAAACGATTTGTCACGCGTGAAAAAAACGTTTCGTCCAATCGCAAACCACTCTCAAGGCGAATCGTGTTTTCGCGGTCATCGCGGGTATTTTTGTCGAGCAGCTTTCAAATATTTTCAGTGTATTGTAGTCTATTGTTCGTAGTTCATCTAATCAAGAGCTAAGAGATATTTGTTAGGATGGCTGTACAATCAAGAAAATTTTTGTGTCTCTAGACAAACCTATAGAAAAGTTTATCGAAGACCAAAAAAAAAAAAAAARAAAAAGAAAACACTCTTTCAAAGCACGAAGAGATGTAAGTTTGCTGACTGAGTTTCTCAAACTTTAACTGTTTATTCGTCTCGTTCTGTAAAAGACGTAATTAGTGAGCATATTTTCCACTCACCTTAACCAGTTTTCAAGTCTGTTTTTTAGTCTTGATTTGTCCTAAATCTCCAGATTTTCAATGAAAGACATCCGAGGTAAATTTCACTAAGCTTGATATTGTATTGGATTATCTGTAGTTATCTTTCGGTTTTTTTTTAATAGAAGAGATTCAAAGCCTAGTGTCGGCCTTGGAAAACTTTGTCGAAGAATCTTCCAAGAACAAAACTAGCCCCTGKGGGTGGTGGTGAGTTGTGTACAAAATTCCAAAGTGGGAGAGTATCACTAGCACAAAAAAGAAACAAACAAACAAACAATGTAGTGCATTTCGATTTGATTTCGCTGCATGGTTTTTATTATTGGAGAAATTATCTTCATCTCGAATAAAAAATAAGTTTCATTCAAATTGTTCTCCCTGTGACTTCCGTATCGGGAGCTCCGCTTTTAGGCAGCGCCTTAATATATATTAATACTTATTGACCACTGATTTTGGTAGCTTATTTCGTTATTTTCAAAAGAACAGTTTCATATTTAGTTTAGAATTTAAACGTTCTGCTATTTACTTTGTACCAGATATATTTTTTTTAAAAGGTGAATAAAAAAAAAGAAATCAGTATGTATAAAATCAATAAATTACATTATGGAAAGCGCTTTGTACGGGATTTTCCCACTCGTTGGCTTTGTACCTGAAATCTCACTCGTTCGATTTCAGATACTTCACCAACTCGTGCGAAAATCCCGTACGCGCACGCTTTACATGAAGTAATCTCTATATATACATTGAATCCGAACAATATTTCACCAAGAATACGATACACTATTTCAATYGAATATATGATAGGTTTTATGACTAATACTTATTTTTTCATCTTTTACGGAATTTTTAAAGCAGCCTGTGCGAGATCATGACGTAACAGACTATGAACTTAATTTGCATATTCGCACTTGTAAATCAAGAGATCGAGAGAGAAAGAAAGAGCGGGAAGAATAGTAAGTCGAGACGGATAGTTTGTGTTAACATGTAAAGAAAAGAATCAAGAATACAACACAGCTTAGTCGAATGCTGCTTAGTTTATTCAAGGAAACAAAGATAAAGAAAAGAATCGAAAATACAACACAGCCCTACCTTGAAACTTTAAAAAGTGGCTCAAAAAATGACTAAGTTTGGGGGATCTAAACTACACCTGGTACCTAAGATTTTGGAACAAATATTACACCAAAAGAAAGCTTGTCTATTGATTATTAAATCAGAAAAGTTTCAGCTCTGGAGTCGAAATATTTCTTCAGATCTGCAATTTGATACCTCTTGGGGTGTCAAATAAATAGAAATTTAAAAGGACGCTACCAGAGAACAAACCAGTACCTCTTAGGGTGTTTTTGAGGCAATAAGATATCGGAGATTATATGATGACAGTCAAAACGGCAGTTGTGATTATTCAGGTTTATTATTTTCGATTTATTATTTGACCTCTGTTACTTAGATCATAGAAAATTGGTACCTTTTAGGAATAAAAATCATTAGTTTCCACGCCCAACTGGACAGGAGTCAAGTACCTGTCACAGGGGCGTACCCAAGGGAGGGTTCCAGAAGTTCCGGACACCACATGACAAATAGCCATGGCCAGCGTCCGTCTTCCTGTTCAGGCTCGTTTTCGAATCCCCCTTCTGAAACTCCTGGGTACGCTTCAAAATTTCCAAAATTTGTAATGATCGAACGTGAAATTTTCAGATGGTGTCGCAAAATACTAGAACTGGTGGGTATTTTTTTCCTAATCAAAGTAAGGTTTTAGAAATCTTTATAAGAACAAATTACGTTTCTTCGATCTACCAAGCCGGAGTTTTTATATCAGGTACCGTAAGTCCTTTAAATTTTTTCTTGATTTATTATTATTTTTTTATTATTATTTTACTTTCAAACTCAAACAGAGTAAAGGCATTTAACCCGTGAAATAGAAATTATAAGTCAACGTGTAAGAGTGAAGTTAAATAGACACAAAAGAAAACAATGGAATTAGGGTCTACTAAAGTATATTAGCCCAATATCTATTTCACGGGTTTAATGACTTCACTCTCTTCACTCTTTTTAAACTAAGTTTCGTTTATAATTTTATCATTATATCATTTCACCTTGTTTATAGCACAGAGAACAGACCTGAATAACCGCTTTACAAATGTATCATGATGATGATGATGATGATGATGATGATGATGATGATTGAGTGTTTATAGCAATCTCGTAACCAGAGCCTGCGTTTCTTCTGGTCTGTGCAATGGCGAAAAAACCTTGAATAAACCGCGCGAAATAATCACTTTTCCAAAAGAATAACGCCCGCCCTCTTTTTTCTTATAAACGTGATCGTAATCTTCGTTCTTTCTTAGTCAAGTGAGTTCTTCCCTCTTACAAAGAACCTGGTACTTTTCGCTGTTCTCGTAAACGTTGTTATACTTGTCCTCACATAGCCTCTCACACTTCTGTTGTCGGTCCTAAATCCACTGTTAAAATCACTGACCATTTTGTTTGTACMAMTYCTAATGTTGTATATTGTATTAAATGTACCCGCTGTAATCTTTTGTATGTGGGCGAGACTGGCCGCCGTCTTGGTGATCGCATTTGCAATCATCTGTATGATATTCGCAATAACGATCCCACCAAACCAGTTTCCCGCCACTTTAATCTAGCTAACCATTCTCTTTCTGACTTCATTGTTTTCGGTCTTTCTTTGATTAACGGCAACAATGATTGTCGCAAGACCAAAGAAATGCGGCTTATTCACCTATTGGGCACTCTTAGTCCCAACGGGATTAATGAACGCTTTACTTTCAACTAACCTTTTCTTTTGTCTTTTGATTGTTTGTTTTGTCTTATTCTATCATATATACACTCCTTTCTACCACTTTTTTCTCTTTAACTCCGACGAAGGACTAGCGTCCGAAACGTCAGTAAGTTTTTTCATCTTTTCACGGTGTATAATTTACTTTTTCATCATTACTGTTTCAAAAGAATAACGTTCGCTTTCGAGTTTCCTGTTTTAACTAGGTGTTAATTCGTTGCTGCATGAACAAAAGAAAACTCTGGGTACGAGTTTACCGAATAGGAGGGCTACTAGTGAAAGATATGAATAACTAGACACTCTAAGAGTGTGTAGTTGGGCTACATGTGGGAGAATAACTAGTATATGATAGCACTTCCATTCAGTCATACAAAGCTGTGTACAGTACTTTTTTGATGATTTTCAAAAGTAAACAACTTGGCATATCGAGATCTGCATTCCTCTATTAATATTGATTCTTTATTATGATACAGATGTAGACTGTGTATAACTGTGCAGCTTTCTGAAATACATCACAGTCATTTTATATAGAATCTATCATAGTCTTTGTTTTTATTATGAACTGGTGTACAAACAAAGCCACGTGTATGTATAAAACAGCCATTAGCACGCTCGTTATGATGCCCATTCGAACAAACCACACACTATTCAACATTATAAACGAAAACAAAATAATACATAGCAAAGTTATCGCTAGTATAAGTGCAAGGCTTCTTCGCTGTTTATTTAATTAGTTGAAGAATTCCAATATGGTATCCATGTCGTTGTTGGCGGTGGAGATATTTTCTCTGTCTCTCTCATCTTCAGAGTAGGCAGCAAAGCCCCTGATTACTAAACGGTTAAGAGTCAAGTCCCTCTGAGTAACCTCTGATAATTTCGGTAGATTTGAGTTCATTTGAGTTTCGTTTGAGTACATAGTCAAGCCCAGAAGTAGGACGGTTGTAGGATGCTTCGCGAAATTCCTTTTTTATTTCAAATTGTATTGACTCATTAGAAAAGAATCAGTGGCAATTTCCGGCAATTTTACTTTCAAATGAAAATTTGTTTAATTTCTTGAAATCTTACTTTTATTTGCCAAGTTGAAACTCGAAATTTAACGCTTTTCATTTATTCTATTTTGATTTGACAAGTTTAAAAATCACCCTATTTTTCATTTGAAAACAAAAGACATCAGTACTTTTAAACTGCGATGAACAACAAAAGAATTTGACATTGTATCTATTTTTAAAGTTTAATATATTCTTAAAACTTGATAAAAAGACGGAGCTTTTTCCAAATTCGTCTTCGTCAATTCGCGGAGGGGAGCTGCAACCATCTGTTTGGCGCCATTATGGAGTACATAGAAGCTAACAAACAAACCATAATAGACTTAGTTAAAGATAATACTACTCACAGAGAGATAGAAAAATATCTAAGTGATGCCTTTCCAGAATTGAAGAGCCTTTTCGGAAAGAAATGTGAGGTTGCAATTGGTTTGTGCAAACAACAATATCAAGAGAATGAACGTACAAGATGTCGACCAAATCGTTCGAAAGTGTGTTGATAAACGCTATAAAAAAAGCGTTAAATTTCGAGTTTCAACTTAGCAAATAGAATTAAGATTTCAAGGAATTAAACAAATTTTCATTTAAAAGTAGAATTGCCGGAAATTGCCACTGATTGAAAAGTTTGGCATATTGGTGTTAATTAATTGTACTTAATTACATCATGATGCAAGTGTCCTTATTTGTCTATCCTGAGTGATAAACTAATTCATAGGAATTTGCAGTCAGAAAGTCATGAATACAGTCGTTAACAATCTCTGGCTCTTCCTGCTGTACCCAATGCGATGCTCCGTCTACATATCTGTCAGTCATACAAATACAAATTACCGACTTTTAGAGTTTCGCAGAAGCCTTATACTAAGCCAAGAATAAAAATATCGCGGTGGTCACGGGAATTTTTAAAACATGCATTTAACCACAGATCGCCCAAGGTTCTTAACTTTATATTTCAGTCCCAAACTCTCTGATCTGAATTTTTCTAATCTCTTTTCGATCTCTCTAAGCCMAAAGGCTATGCGAGGCATCCCATCTGGAGCTCTAGCTTGATCAGCCCGGTCTAATGACTCCCTTTCTACTTTTTTTTTTTTTTGCTGGGAAACTAAAACGGAATATAATTAAATTACGTCAAGGTCCGGCCTCTTCTCATTCAATGCTTTAAAGCTAGCAATGGAATTAAAATTATTCGAACAGAGAGAACTTCGTATTTAGGGTATAGCTGATAGCAGATATACTAAAAAATAAATGACTTGCCTTATTGTAAGGTTTGGTGCAAAGCGCTCTGTTCCTTCAAGCATGCCAGATTCCAGAGCTCCATCTGCGGTGCCCTGTTGTATTTAAAGAATGTTTCCAATAAGTATACACCATTAACTGTAATTTGCAATTGTTTCTTTGCTCTCTTTGCTTTTTGTTTGTTTGTTTGTTTGATTGCTCGTTCTGAAAGACATTGCAAGTTTCTTTAACTCGAAATATCATTAGACTATTGCACTGTTGAACGAATAGCAAGACTGTGGAGAATTAACTACCAGATGAATACTTTTTCCCAAAAAAATAATYATTAGCTATTTGAAAACTTTAGGGAAGCACGGGTGGCGTGCGCAGTTAACGCGCCGCCTCAATGTCGATCTCGGGTTCTCTTCTTTTCCTCCCTCCTCAAAAATCAACTTCTAAATTCGATCTTGGGCTTTCACCTAGTTGTGATTGTCCCACGTTGTGATACAGAGCTAAAGCTTAATAGATTTTTTTAGAGAGATTATTTACTCAAGCCCATCCTTATCTTCCTTTTAATGTTGAGGATTAGTTAATGATTTTTAACTATTTCAATTAGAATTGCAATATAACTCTCTTCGATCTTAGTGATAAAGCACGACTTGAGAGCAGGACACAGAATGAATTCTATAGCTTATTGCGTGTACATCATCTTCAGTTCAGGAGTGTTATATCAATATGATAACGGAAAAAAACCAAACCTGATCTATTTGCTTTAGATAATAAATTTTGACGAGCAAAGTGTGAAAAACCGACTGAGAAAACGTATCAGTTATTATGGTACTTTTATCAGCCCCTTATTAGCAACCATCTACCAATATTCATTATTCAATACGAAAAAGAGCATAAACAACGTCCGGAAAATTACTCTAAGCGTATCTTCTCCGCTCGTAGTGCAGATAAATTTAGAGAGGAAATATCTAGGGTTGATTGGTCAGTTATCTACAATTCGAACAACCCCAACGAACAGTATAATTTCATGATAAATACACTAATRGAAATATATGACAAACACTTCCCTATAAAAACATTCTTAGTTAAACCTTCAACTAGGAATAACCCCTGGATTACACCAGGTATATTAAAATCCATAAAGAGAAAAAATAAACTATACCGAGCAAAACTTCGAAACCCTACTGAGAAC